CTGAGGGCCACAGACAGGAGGTCTCCAGCGTTACTTCTATCCAATCGCATTGGTTGAAAGAAACATCACAGCTACTGACAGGAGAAGAAAGAGACGTGTGTCCAGCCCTGATCATTCAGAGTGACTGACGGTGACTGCACACACAAGAAAAGAGTATTCCCTTTGTAGGTAAATTTATCAGTGTTTCTGCTGATGAGCTGATTAACAACGTTCCTCCCAAGAAACAGAGACATCCTCATCTTTAGTTCCAAGAAGTTCAGTGTTTCAAACCGACAACAGGTTCGGTCAGTAAAGGAACACAACAGACAACAAGCTGCAAACTCTGGAGCCAAAAACTAAACATGATGACACATGAAGTCAGAGTTTGCCTGTTACACACAAAAAGACATTTCTGTGAAATCTGACCCTGTACGTCGAGATTAGGACACGAAGTTGGGAAATATCCAGTGACATGGTAACAAAACATCAAGTTTAAAAAATATCTTGGTGTGTTAAACCTGTTTCCAACAGTAGGGTCTTACACTGTGGACAAGAGACGTTCTGTGTCTTCAGAGCCTGAAACAGTTCAGTAGTCGACTGATCACACTCAGCAGTACTCATTCACTCATACACTGGGTGATCTCCTGCGATTCCCAGCATGCCTTTCAACAAATCTGCCTTATCAGCCTGTTGCTGCTCGCTCACATTAATCTCAGTGGCTGTGTTAGTTACTCTGTGTTTGTCTGAGCTCCTGGGGCCAAAACCTCTTTCACATCTATCAAGAAGCATTAAAGTTCAAAGATGGAGGACATCTGAGGTGTTCTTATTTGGTTTGTTTGATTCAAACTCCATTAAATTTATAAAAATGTGCTTTTAAATTATTTTTAGTTGATAGTGCTTCTCTGTGAGTGCTGTACTTTTATTTGTAATAGAGTATTTTTACAGTTTTGTTATGTGTACTTACAGTACATGAAAGACCTGAGTACTTCTCTTGGTACCCTTGAGTACTTTTAAACAGTGGCTAAAATCTTTGAACATAATCTAAGAGAACCCAAGTGCTGCTGTCCTGATTTTTACACCCATAATTTCAGGTCATTTGAAGATAAATGAAATAATAAACCGCGTTTGTTCTTTTTGGCTGCCTAATTTCAACCTTTAACCTGTGCAGAACAGTACATGGTATGCTCTCTGTAAGTACCTTTGGCACCACAGTAACGCTGTGAACGCAGGACCAGACGTGTTTTGCTCTGGTGTCTAAATATCCTTTAAAACGGATGTCGTATGGAGCTGCTGAGACACGTTCACTTATCTCTCTCTCTGTGTCTGTTTTCAGTGCCACCAACAGTGGCAGAGTGACACTTACTTTACACTCTCTCTCTCCATTATAACACACATGGTCGGCCTGTTTGTTCGCTCAGACATGTTGAGCCTTCCTGATGGCTACTGTTCACCACACACCAGCGAAGAAGAGTGGTTGAATGACACTTACTCTGTCTCTCTCTCTCTCTCTCTCTCTCTCTCTCTCTTTGTGGCTTAAAAAATAAAATTTTAATCTGAAAGCTTAGTTTCTTTGGATGAGAAATAGCAAAAACTCACCTGAGCAATTTCAGAGATCACCTCCCTCCGATCAGAGCTGTGTCATTCTGAACACCCAGTGTGTGTGTGTGTGTGATCACATCATATCAAACTCCAAAGGTTCACTGTCCTGGTGTTAGCTTTACAAGCTGGCCAGTGTTAATGTTTAACCTGCTGCTATCTGTGCAGACACACACGCACACACCTGCTGGGCTGGTGGATTTGCATGTGTGTGTGTGGCAGGAGGCCTTTGACCGACAGTCACTATCTGTACCAGAATGCTCTGCAAATGTCTCTTTGCCTACTAATGCAGACACAGGGACCATGCAGCTGTTCCAGTCTCAGACTTGCCACTTTCCCCTGGTTACATAAAGGTTTTGCAGAACCAAATGACCTGAGAACATGTGTTTACTGATTCACTGGTTCAAGTGTCTGTGGTGACTTGACTGCTGAAACAAATGTTGTAGAGATACAGTTCCTGTGTCAGGACAGCACATTAAAACTGTCCAGAAAGCCTGTCTGAGCTAGCTACAACTGAGGTTTGTGTTCGCTGCAAGTAGAAGCATCAGCACTGTGACATTTGAACTTCAGGGACATTTGATTCACTGGACAATTAATCAGTTACTACAGAAAAAAACTGTCTGATATATTGATGAAAATAACTACAGCCTCACCGTTCTCCTGTGGTGGAAGAATATGACAACCTGAGGTTTTCTGCTTTACACAGATAAAAAAAAAAAAATTACAGCAAGTTGATAAAACAGCTGAGCTTGGCACGAACCAAAACAGCTCAGAGCCTAATACTAGATTTTGTCACACAGGTCGGGCCACAACATGGTGGATGGAGGACCCGATGTAGTTCTTATTCTACAATCTTGCACCTTTCTACCAAACGTGATTAATCAGATTATGTGGAAGTATTGTAGCCTGGGACTGTTGGCCTGGTGCTGATTCGGCCTCGCTGTAATACAAATAAAGCATGAATGACTGAGTGGCCTCCTCCAGGATGACAGAGCCCCCGTCCACAGGATCCTGGGGGCCACTGACTGGTGTGATGAGGATGACCATGATGTGAACCAGATGCTGTGGCCTTCCCAGTCACCAGCTCGCAGCCCAGTTGAACAGCTATAGGAGATGTTGGAGCGATGTGTTAGACAGCGTCTCCACCACCATCGTCAAAACACCACGAGGGCACAGCCTGTTGGAAGAACAGTGTTCATCTTTCCAGGAGAGCTCAGAGACCCGGACAGTCAAGGTGGAGCTGCTCTGGTGGCACGTGGAGGCCCAGCACCTCACTGGGACTCTGTGTTGGGTCATCCTTTCACTTGTGTGTGTGTACAGTGAGTTGTGGTTGTGCTGACTCACTGTTGTATTCCTGTGGTGCGCTCACTCATGTGACACATCTGTAAGCAACACCTTGTGCAGTGTGACACTGGCACGTTACCAGGAGCAGTACAGTCACAGTTCAGCTGCAGCTGTGATCAAAGATTAGCCTTTCAAAGTATGAGTGAGCTATAAATGCATCATGTAGTGTCTCATCATCTCTTCTTTCTGTCTCCCTAGGCTACAGCATGACCAGCTGTTTCTGTGGGCCAGTGCCGAGAGAAAACCACTGTGGGGTGAGTTTTCTCAACATGTTTACAATGTTTGCTGACATATTAGCCATGCCCACCCCATTGGCACTGTGCACTGGCTGCTAGTCAGAACCAGTCATGTAGAGAACTGTGCAGGACTCAATAAACTGGTCAAAACTCTCCTCTTTATATTTTACAAAGACAAAGATGCAGCTGAGGTTACTGTACTTTTCTCAGCACTGAGTTGTGTCTGCAGCTCTTCCTGTCGGGCTGCCTCTATCAACTAGCATGTATGCAGCCTGATAGGCAAAACTCAGGGCAATGAAGCCATTGAAGCTGTTATCACTGTGACCTTATGATGAAGTCAGATGAGTGTATCAACACCTTCATCAGCTCCGAGCTCCTCCTTTCTTCCGTCAGAAGGCACAGAGAGAATATGATGCACTGGGCCCCCATGCACAGACATGTAAAAGGCCCCCACCCCTCCTACAATGGTGTCCCAGAATGCAAGAAACCCAAAATGACCACCAACAACACAGTGGCAGTTTAAAGTGTCCTTGGTGACATGATATGTTAACGTAGTAGCATAACATGACAGCCTACCATGTCTGATTCACATGTAATTTAATATTTTTAAATATTAAATACTGATGTTTTATAGGTAAATTATTAAAGGATGCTGCACCTGCTGCTCAGTCTGATAGTAATATACTGTATGATAATTATATCGGTGACAGAGACCAATTACTTTTCAAAGGCTACTTTAAATACATTTTCTTGATAATACTTGTGCACATTTACTTAAGTAGGAATTTGAATGAAGGCTTTTAGTTATTTAGTATTCTGATAATGTTGAGTCTTATTAAAGTTTCTGATGACGTCTTCCCTCACTGCTTGTTTCAAATGTGTGGATTTTCTTTAAGGCTGCAGTGAGTTGTAATGTCTTTGCTGGTCCAGCAGGTGGCGCCACAGGACAGCAGCACATGGACTTCCTGTTTCTGGCCTCTGAGTTCAGCTCCTCAATGTGTTTGACCCTGTGCAGTTAATGGGAGTTTGACTGAACCAATTACATTGAATGAAGGTGAAGATCAGCGCCAACAAGAAAATGTGGTTTTGTACCAATAAAACACGGCGGTTTCATGTTTAGACATACACACTTCACTTCACTCAGTTTACTATTGTAACACAAACAGCATGAACTAACTTACATGATTCATAAAATAAATACATCGTATTCGCTGCTCTGGACCGATTTAATGATAAATACAGCTTGTAAGTGACTGATCAAACAGTGTTTATGGTTGTTTTCATAAAGTGCTGTCATCATGAACATTTCATTCAGGAAACTTTCCCATCCTATAAAGTCCCTCAGTCTTCATCTGAACTCTTCTGGATCCTCACCTACTGCACTGTTCCACGGTATTGCATAAATCTTATACTGACATGTGGACAACGAACACTTTCTGTTCGTTTATTTTGCAGCTCCTTCAACAGAACAGCTTGGAGATGTTCCAGAAGATGTTCCATGTGTCCGCTGTCCACATGTGAATATAAGGTTTATGCTCAAACAGGCACAAGAAAGACAAAGTTTCTTATTGCTCTAGGCACACGCACGTGCATGCACACACCTATATCAGACGTCAGGTCTTGTGGTGGTTGCATCTGAACCTCTAGTGGAACCTGAACTTCTCTATCATTATTTGTTTTAATTAATCATGTATGTATATTTCTTTATACTGCGTTTCATCTTACTGCCTCAGTGTCTCATATAAAGCGCACTGAAGAAACGCCTCGTCTTCATTAGCCTGTGGTGCTGTGTGGCTCCTAAATCAAGGTGCTGACACACAGAAACCAGCAGCAGAGCTCCTTCCAGCAGATAACAATGCAGAATAAAGACACCGTTCTACAGGCAGAAAACCTTTACTGTCACTGCAAATGTCAAAAAACTAACTCTGAGAAACCGGAGGAAGCAGTAATAAATAGTTCAGGATTTTTAGTAACATTTTGTGGGAGTACCACAGGGGGTCAGGGGCCCACAGTGAATGTTTGCCAGGGGCCACGTAGGGTTTTTATTCTGGCCCTGACCCACAGGTAGCCTACAGTATCTATATTGTGAGCAACTTGTAGTTGTGTACATATACTCATGAAGATATTTCATTGGGTCCACAGCCTGGACACAAAAGGGAGTTTGTGCAGAAAATCCAGGCAGCTGACGAGAAGACGAGGCAGAGTCTGTAAACACAGTCAGGATCGTCTGGTTTCTTGTTGAAGAGATTTATGCTGCAGGATGTGAAACATGACGAAGAAGACCAGGAGAAATAGACAAATAGCTGAAGAGGAGGAGGACCAACTTTGGGACGCACCGACACAGTCCGCGCATCAGTCTCGGTTTCAAACCTCCTGCTGCTCCGCGTTAAACGAATTAAAGTGATGAAGGGGATTAAACCGGGGCAGATCAGCTGCTCCGCATCCTCCCGGACTCCCGGATCCACGGGATCTGCAGCTCCAAACCCACGAGCCGCACACGTGAGCAGGACTCTGGCTCCGGTTCCACTCGTTTAAAACTGGGGTATCCCCGTTTTCAGACGGGTTTGTCTCCCTGCTCTCCAGCCCGAGGATGCGAGCTGCGTACGGCTGTTGGTCCCTGCGGTTCTTCAGTCTGTGGCGGTGTTCCGTGCTGCTACTGTCCGTTTCCCGTCGCTGCTCTGCGGATTTTTAAAGAGCCGTTTCTACTTTTACCTCCGCAACGGACTGAGCCTCAGAAGAGGAAACGCAGAGGATGTTCACACGGTTTATTCCCTTGTCTCTCCTTTCTTTCTTCTCTCACGCCTGAATTCTTCTGCAGCACTTTCATTTTCTCCGAGGCTTCACACAAACCACAGACACCTGATGCTGGACTTCTGCCTTTGACCCGGGACCCGTTTTGAGGGATTTAAACCTGGTTCTTTTCATACTCTACGGTCCCCGACCGAGTTCTAATCTTTTTCATCCTGTTGTCTGAAGCTGAAACCCCGGAACCTGTGGATGTTTGATCTCCGATGAGTCACGTCCAATCGTTCACTTTCCCGTCAGTTCCCTTCTCACGTTTTCCCTCATGACTGCAGGCGAAGTTGCTGCTGCTTCTGTTTGTTGTCTGTTTCAGATGTAATCGGGTTTCCTGGAGGAGAGGAAACCCTGGCGGTGGCGAGGGGCTCCTCGTCTGCTCCAGTTTCTCCACTTTGCTGCTTTGTTTCAGACCAGAATCAGATTTAGAGGAGAACCCAGAGGACCAATTATCTCTCCGTTAGTTTTCCTGGCTTTCTGCAGTAGGAGCTGTTTTCTTTATCATCAAAAGGGGACTACAGCCTGAGGCGTCCTAGGGAACCTTGAACAGAGTTTCTGTTTTAAAGTCACAGAAGAGCCTTTTAGTACCTAAAAGCAGGTTAGGTTATTATTACTTAATAATGTAATCGATCCTGGGGGAGCCTTGGAAAACCACCCTTGAGAATCCCCAGGAAACACAGAATCTGGACAGACCCAGGATGAAACTCTGAAGTGTCCCAAGGAACCCCAGAAGAATCCACATTACCCCCAAGACTTCCAAAACTGCTTTGAGAAATGCTTTACCTCATGTTGAGAGGCATCCTGAAAAAACTGTAGAAGGACCCTGCAGACCGTCAGGATCCAGAAAACTCACTGGGAAGCTCACAAACACCTTGAAACCCCCTGACCAATACTGGCTGAGGGCCAAGCTGGAGGGTGCAAATGGACCTTCAAGAAATGGCTTTAAATGTGTAAGTGCCTTGAACCTGGAGGTCCAACAAAACCCCGAAGAAATCTGGGGACAGCAGAATAATTCAAGGATTCCAAGTGTGAAGTGCTTTGAGGAACCCTACAGGGACCCTCAAGGCTCAGACGGAATCTGGGGATCACAGAAGGAGCTCAGAAAGCCTAGAGGCCCCTCCAGAGGACCAATGGGCACCCTGCGGGACCTGCAGTACGCCCTGCAGGAGAAGATCGAGGAGCTGCGGCAGCGCGACGCTCTGATCGATGAGCTGGAGCTGGAGCTGGATCAAAAGGATGAGTTGATCCAGCGCCTGCAGAACGAACTGGACAAGTACCGGTCTGTGATCCGACCCGCTACTGCCCAGCAGGTCCAGGCCCAGCAGCAGAGTCTGGTCCTGCAGCCGGACCAGCATCGCAGCAAAAGGCAGGCCATCTCTGCCGAACCCACGGCCTGCAACATCAGTGACATCAGCCATGTCACCCTGCCCTTCTACCCAAAGAGCCCAGAGTAAGTCCACCTTAAAACTTCAGAGGCTCAGTTCACTGTCCTTCCAAAACACAGGTCTCTGTTCTCCAGGTGCGTCTAGTGGTTTTCTTTGCTTGGCTTTGACATTTTTGTTTCTGTGATTTCTTTTCTGTCCTACTAAATAACACTGAGTTCACATTTAGACAGTGAACCATTTGATATTGTAATACGAGTAGCAGGGCCAAGCACTTTTCCTTGTCATACTTTTTAACTACATTTTCTTGGTAAAACTTATGTACTCTCTCGTTTAAGTAGGATTTCCTATTCAGGACTTGTAATGGAGCATTTCTACTGTGTTCCATGGGTACAGTGCACCAGTCTGAGTTGTGCACACAGCTGCCACTTCCAGTCTGTACTAAACATCTGGATATTCATACAAGCTGACATTATTAAAGGCTGCAGCTGGTGATTTTGTATGTTGTTGTTCCTGGACACCAACCCCGTCCAGAGACCAGCAGCACCAGTGAATGTGGCGTCCTCACCATGATGTGTGTGAGTCCAGACCCTGGTTTATCTCTCTGGGCCGTAGACCCCCACTGTTGTCCACCAGCTATTAAACCCCCCAGTGAGCTGTACTGCTGCACTGGGGGGCAGGTTTCCACCTCAGGAGACACAGGATGCCGCCTGTTTCCAACAACCGGCCGTCACCATGTACAGTCTGATCTCTCTGTTCACACACAGTGTTTTTGATGCCTTACAACAATTTTGTTTGTTTCTGTAGCAACAACATCACTCTTCTTCTTGTAAAGATCAACTTCCAGTGACATCTCGACTTGTGGCCACAGTGGCCCTAATCCCTGATTTAATGTACAGAGCTGCAGTGCTGACATGCGAACATGCTGGAGGTGGTTTACGTTTATCCTCGGTCAATACGTTTGGACTAGTTATGCTGACGTTTCTGTTTGTGGTGACGACAGTTTTAACCACCTCACTCAGCCAGACACAAGCCTCTCTGCGTTGTGTAGCGAAACACCAACTCACTGCATGCTGCTTTATGTGTATTGGCTCTTTGCTGGCATCCATTTGTCAGAGCCTGGTGTAATCTAATGTGCTTTTCTGTCTGTCCATGCCAGCATCAGCAGCAACCACTGTGCTGGTTTTTAGTCTGTGGTCCTCCCACATACAGGCCGATGACAAGGTTTCTTTTCCCGTCCCACCGCTGCTCCCTGTCAGCGTCCTGCAGCCTTTCTGTCTGAGTGCTGTGTGTTTTCAAAGATAAATACAAGTGTTACTGCAGAGTGTGTGTGGGCTGTGAACCCCCACCGGCTCTCCTGCCGTCTGCAGGAGCACTTCACAAGCATTTCCAGCTTGTCGCAGCAGACGAGGTAATGATGAGCTGAGGCTTCACTGTCACAGATGTGCTGCTGAGAGAGGGCTTTTATTTTGATAAGGTCCTGTTTGTCCCTCTCTCTCTCTGTTTCTCACCAGCAGCAGACACATCATGAACCTCAGTGTGCATTCATTGTACCTGCAGTGACCGTGTCTCTGCAGAAATCTCATTTGGACTTGCAGTGGCGTTCCTGCTTGTGATGACTTAAGTTCCTCCTCTGTTGCTGCTTCCATCAGGAGCCAGAGTTCGTTTGGCTGGGACTTTGTTTCTACTCACTCTAATACTCACCTGCTGTGACTGCGCCTCTACCTGCAGTCAGTGTCTCCTCTCACCTGCAGTGCTGACTGGTTTCTGCCTGTACTGGAGACATGTGATCACACTTCTGGAGTTTCTGCTGAGCTCATACAAGTTTTCCTTTGTGTGCGGCATATGACCGTCTGTGTTGGTCTGCTTGTTGTCTGTCAGTTTTTTACTGCTTCTCCCTCTGTCTTCTCTCTTGCCTCCCCTCTGATCACTGTGCCTGTTGTTCTCTTTGAGTGACCTCCTTTTACATTCCCTTATTTTTACCTTTTTCTTTCACCTCACTTCTTTTATGTGTCCGCCTTTGGTTTTGCTGCCGTCTCCTGTTTTCTGCCTGCTTTATTTCACGCCTTTATTTCCTCCCACTAACACTTTCTCTCTGACCTGTAAATTCAGCCTTTTTTTCCTGTTCAGTTTTGCTTTTCTTCACTCATTCCTCTATTTGATTCTTCTTCTGACGCCTCCTTCCTCTTATGTGGCTCATGCACTAGTGATACGAGGGTCTGCTTCACCACCCCCGTCTGTCATGTCACAGTGTGTCTTCACTGAAGTTAGTTTCCTCCTGAGACCAATTTACATGCAGATATTGAAGCCAGGGTGAAAGATTTCCTCCCCTGTAGATTCACCTAAATAACACAGATCCTCTTGGCGCTCGTCTCACTGGATAAAATAACACTCTCCGTCTGTTCGTAGACCTTTTAGGGTCTTTTTTTCCCCTCCTTACAGGAGAGTTATTTCTTATATGCTTGTGTTTCCCTCGATGCTGCACAGTCTCAGGAGATTTTCCCAAAACTAATACTTCAACAGCGACTTTGATTTGGGCCAAAGTGTCACCATGTTTTACAGAGTCGGCTGAGGTGAAACTGCAGCGAAGAGGTTTACAACCTGCTCGTTCTCTAATGTCCAGTAGATGCTGCTGAAACAAGGACCGGGCTGCAGTGAAGCCAGAATTGAGGCCATTTGTGCTGAAGATGTTTCTAATGTCAGGCTTCACTTTTACTTGTGAGAGTGTTTCTACTCGCTACGTCTGTTTAGTGGCGATTTTCACACAGAAGCAATGATGTTTCTACTGAGGACGTGTCTACATGTAACCGTGGTGATGATACTTGTAGTGATTTGTTTTCTACTTGTCAGTGACGTTTGTGTTGCAGTGACAACATTTTCACTTGTAGCACTGATGTATCTAATGTTACACATCATCTCTGCTTGTGAAGTGTTTGTGTCTCCTACCTGTAGTGATGATTTTATAATCATGGCGTTTCTACTTGTTTTGATGCCGGCTACTTGCTGCAGTGATGTTTCTACTGCTAGCGATGACGCGCCTGCTTGAAACACTGACATGTCTGTTCTGTTGCATTTCTACTTGTGGTGATGGTGTTTCTTCTTGTCACACTGTTTGAATTGTAAAAGCTTTTACTTGCTTCTACTTGTAGCCATGATGTTAAATCTCAGGGAGGCTGTTTCTCCTGTTCAGCAGAGTTTAGAACCTGAATTACATCTCATCTTTGCTACAGGCTGTTGAGGAAATGTGAATGAAGCGAGAACCTCAATTGAAAAGTCAGATTAGGATTTGGAGATTTGTAGTTACCCTGAGGATCTTAAACACACCAGGCTGTTTCTGATGAGCTCTTCTACACAGCACAGTGATGTTTGGCGTTTAGTGGTCCTGATTATATCTTTAATTGTCAGGTCTAAACAAGCCTGTGGGATCGAGGCAGCATTTGACCTGCAGCTGTTTTCAGATCTGCTCAGTCCTCTGAACAGCTGAGTGTTTAAACAGCAGCTTCTGGGGTCTCAAACCAAAGCTGTGATGCAGTCGACAGCTGGGACTGTTGATTTGTGGCGTATTTGTTTTCCTCTCTTCAGCTTTCCTTCCCTCTGCTAGTCCGTTTCAGTCCATTTCAATTAGAACGCACAGTATTGAGCTGACAGGAAGGAAGGAAGCCTTTGGCTTTGCCGTAAATCCTCCCTCTCTCACAGAGCTCAGTGATGGGCTCTGTGACAGCGGCTCGGCTGCTTTTTATTTGTCCGTTTGAAGGAGGAAGAAGCTGCTCCTCTCCAAGACTGAAAAGAAACCCACACTGCAGAAATGCGAGAGCAGCAGTGTTCATCTGTGGCACCAGCTGCTGAGAAAGTGTTCAGTTATGATGTTTAGTTTATATGATAGTCAAACTCGGCTTTGAATTTGTGAGTTTTTAAAATCAGGGATAAATGTTTTTGCAGTAAAGACTGACCAAAGCAAAACAAAGAGTGAAGAGTGAACATTTAGAAGAAACAGTTCAGTGTGTCTGAACCCTTTGACTACCTGCACACAGTAGACAGTCTTCAGGGTGATGGCCTCAGGAGGTAAAAATGATGCAGAACCACCGAGCTTGTTATGAGGTCAACAAAAAAGATGCTTCTGTGCCTGAAACTGCACAAATCACCAAAGTAATGAGTGGAAAATCTTGATATTCTGAAGAGGGAAGCCTGCTTGTTAGCTGTCAGAGCTAACTGACCTGCACTGGAAGGGCAAAGACTCGGTTAAGGTCAAACCACTCACACTGCTACTGTGTCTGAGGTGCAGACATTTGTCAGGTTCACTGATCAATACTTTGATCAGTTTTGAGTCTGAGTGTTGGATTTGGTGACAGTTGGAGAGAAAAATCTCTTCATTGTCTCATGTAGCTGATCAATATTATTGATAAAAGAACAGTGACACAGTTTATATATGAGAGAAGCTCTGCCTGTTTACTCTGCACCCAGCTGGTTTTTCCAGTGTGTAAGAAACAGCTGGATTGTCACACATGCTGACATTGTTATAGGCTGCACGTGGTGTCCTCACCGTACTGTGAGTCCAGACCCTGGTCCAGTTCATCACTCTGTGCCGTAGACCTCCACTGTTGTCCACCAGCTATTAAGCCCCCCACTGCACTGGGGGGCAGGTGTCTTCCTTAGGAAACGTGGGAGACCATCTGTTTCCAACAAACAGCTCACCTCACCTGGTAAAATCAAGGTCAATTCAAATAATTAAGTAAATGAAGTTCCTCACATATAGCATCCAGGAAGAGGGAGGTTGTGCTTTGAAGCTGTGCAGCAGCAGGTGGAGCAGAATTGGCTGTGAGGACCAGAGGTTCATCCTCTGGGAGCAGGAACCATGACCACCAGACACTTGAATGTAATAGACTGTGGTCTGGAGATCGGACTGTGGACGGACCAGACTCTGTGTGAGCGAAGTCAACAGGAGCTGCAGAGCGTGTAGGATGAGCCAGCTCCTCAGCTTTAAACTAGACTTTCACGCGCGGCTGCCATCGATCGCACATATTAACTACTTCACTCAGTGTTTATGAGCCTCTGACAAATGACAGGTAATCAAACCAGCCGGGGAAACACAAGTGAATGTCAGAGCTGTTACCCAAACTGTGTGAGTGGGGCAATTTAGTTTTATTTGCTCTGCATGAAACTGGTCTTTGGGGAGCGATGACGACCGAAGCTGTGTAAAGGTTTAAATGTTCCTGCAGATGGAGAAATGACGGTGTTTCCAGTCGAGCTGTCTCTGCTGAGCGTCCCCTCAAAGAAAAAGTTTGTGCACCTGATGTGAAAAGAGGAACTGAACTGTAAATCCTCTGGGATTCAGTCATGTGCTGCGTTATTTTATTTCACCGGGTCAGCTGGTTGTTTCTGCACAAAATAACCAAACACAGATATCAGTTAAAGTATTGGATTTGAAGGTAAAAGTCAATAATAATTTATCATAGTACAAGTACACAGATTATATAAGTATTGCTTTCATTTTACCCTTCACCTACCAAAATAGTTATACAGACAGGGACGAGTTTGCAAGTGGCAAACATGAGAAGCAGAACTATTTTACATTAAAGGAACAAAGGCACATAATCCAGTCATTTCCATCACACCAATTTTCTGAGTGCTGCTTGTTCTGTGTTTCAGGTCGAAGGAGCTGATAAAAGACGCCATCTTGGACAATGACTTCATGAAGAACCTGGAGCTGTCTCAGATCCAGGAGATTGTGGACTGCATGTACCCAGTGGATTATGGGAAAGATGCCTGCATCATCAAAGAGGGCGATGTGGGCTCCCTGGTCTTTGTGATGGAAGGTGAGGGCAAAGCAAACACTCGCCACAAAGTCTGATGTGGCCTCATCTGGTCGTTTCTGTTGTGAGGGTTTTATTCACTCAGTCTTGAAGGTTTTTAGCTTGGACTCACCTTCTGTCTTGAGTTTTGCCACAGACAAGAGATTTTATTTGACCCTGGTTTATCTCAGGTTTTTGTTTTTAACTTGGACCTTTGCAGTTTTTGGGGGTTTGTCTCCATGATCAGGGGTTTTGAGCTGGTCAAGAGAAAGCATTGACCCGGGAAGGTCTTGATAAAAAGTGACGTTGTCCTGTTATCAACGTTTTTGGGCTGATACAGACCTTTCTTCATTGCAAGAGTTTTTCATTGACCCTTGTGATGAGTTTTTGTTACTCATTTAATTCTTGTCTTCATCATTTGTTTAGTTTTAACCCAGACTTGTCTTGGTCTTACTGGTTTGTGTCTCGGATGTGTCTCATTGAAGAGTATGTTCCTATTGACCAGGACTTGAGTTTTTTCAGCTGGCACTCGTGTTTTGTTTTGAGGAACTGGTTTCAGTCGATTTTTGTCAATTTTTGTCTGACTTGTCTGTCTTCATGGTGGATTCTCCTCACTTTAGATTAGATTAGATTAGATTAGATTCAACTTTATTGTCATTACACGTGTACAAGTACAAGGCAACAGAATGTAGTTTAGAATTTAACCAGAAGTACAATAACAAATCAAATCAAATCAAATTTTATTTGTATAGCACCAAATCACAACAAAAGTCATCTCAGGACACTTTACAAAGTAAGGTCTAGACCTTACTGTTATCAATATTATTACATAGGGAAAACCCAACAAATCCCCCTTGAGCAAGCACTTGGCGACAGTGGGGAGGAAAAACTCCCTTTAACGGAAGAAACCTCCGACAGACCCTGGCTCTTGGTGGGCGGCCTTCTGCCTCGACCGGTTGGGGTGAGTGGATAGAGAAGAGACAAAAGAAGAAAAGCAACAAGACAAAACAAACAATCAAACACTGATCAGGTCGATGTGGCTGGTGACTGCTTGTCAGGGACGCAGAGCTCCAGGGCCAGGGCTACCTGCAGAAAGGTACAGGGAGAGAGAGAGGACACACTATGGGAGAGAGGAGACACACAGTTAGTAATGTGTAATGGTGGCATATAGAAGCATAGGGAGAGGGAGGAGAGGAGAGGAGAGCAGAGCAGGAGGGGAGGGGAAGGGAAACAGCAGTGCAGAATGCACAGTATCTACAATCTGTACAGTCAGAACTAATTTACCAATAGATATGGAATGAAATAGTGCAGAATAACAAAATAATACTTTAAGAAGTCTTCAGCAGTAAAAGGTAAAAAACAAGAAGATTTATTGATAAATATGTACATACTATATACAGCTAGGATTCAGCACTTTTGCTGCTGTGGTTCAGGAAAGGCATCCATTGTAAAACACGTGCCAAATTTCAACATGCAAATCGTCAGTGTGGCAGGAACAGCCAGAGGTGACGGACAGAGATGGACACATATACAAGTTAAGAGCTTTAGAGTGTGTACAGTGATTATACTGTATCTATGCCTGCACTAGGGTATTTGCTGTATCTTGTTATACATACAGTATAAGCACAGGTTAAATGTCAATCAGAGCGACGTCCTGGGGGAAGAAACTTACAGTGACCTGTAACGCCATCCAGAGGGGAGGAGTTCAAACCGTCTGTGTCCAGGGTGTGAGGGGTCTGCAGTGATCCTCTCCACCCTCCTTCTGACCTGTGAGGTGTACAGGTCCTCCATGGAGGGCAGGCTGGCACCGATGGTTCCCTCTGCAGTCCTGACTGTCCACTGGAGTCTGTTCCTGTCCTGATTGGTTGTGCTTCACTTCCAGTCTCTCTCCTCTGTCTCTGTGCTGTTTCTCTCATCCTCAGTCTGAGAAGCTTCCTAGTTCACCTTTTTTATTTTAGTTAGTAGTCTCATGTTCTTTTGCGATAGAACGATCCATCTGTCATGACAGAAAAATCTGAAGCTGTCTGATAAAGCAAACTCTACAAGAGGACCCTCATGTTGCAGTTAATCAGACTGTGTAGACCAGGGTGCTACAGAGTAAGCCTGGGGGTTTTGGGGCTCCGGCAGTGTCCCACTTCCTGGTGACCACAAAACCTTGATTAAACTAGTAACAGTGAGTAAAATGTGACTAAAGCTCAAACATATGTTCATCAAGTCTAAAATAAAAAGCACTGCTGCATTAATAATGATAATGGCTTTCCTCTACATTTTATAGCTGCTATTGATTATTTATTTAATTATGATTTTAGATTATTATCTTGTGTCTCCAGCCTGACTCTTATCAGAAGCTGAACAGAGTCAAGTTTGTCGTCAGTGGACATGAACAAGTTGAAGAACGTCACAACACCAAAGGTTCAAGCCGCAGTCTGTTATAATGTACTGACAGGAATGACTCTAAAGCTAAAAAAGGTTCATGTGAGAAACATTGTCACCAAAGAAAACCAGCGTCTGTGTTCCCAGCGTTTTGTATACAGGTTATTCAAAAGTCAGATTTGTCCCTTCCTCACTGGTGTATTTACTCAAAGCTCTTTTGTTGTATTTATAGCTGCATTTGAGGTTAGTGTGTTATGTAAGATGCCTGTTTAGTAATGTGATACTCCCACCATGTTGTTGTGAAGATGCAGTTTAATCTGCGGGTTTGTGTTTTGAGTTCTCTTTTTTGGACAAGAAGGCAAAACGTCTTGAAAAGAACCTCCAGCATGTTGATTTGCTGAGTTTCCCATGACCTGGATGACTGAGAATCACCACAGATGAAATGGTTGAGGTTTTGTTCAGTGGACAAAACTATTCTGGAGGGAAAACTAAAGAATCGGCTGAGATTCTTAATGTTTTATGTGTTGTCACACCTGCCGCCACTGTGGTGGTCATGCTGTATTTATCAGGACATTTTTGTTTCTGTGCTTCTGGACTCACACAACTCGACAACAATCCTCCAGATGGCCAATCCTCCGTTCCAGTGGGTGGCAGAGCACAGTGTGAACCAAATGATGACATTATATCTAAGTAAAAGCTGCTGGGTGGTTAACACCCATGCTGGCTTTAAGAGCAACGCCTTACAATCTGAAAAATTTCTTTTTGTTGGATTTTATGTAAAAGGATCTGGGCTAATTAGCAAGTTGGTGTTAAAAAGGAAACACTTTGAGTGGAGTTTGGTGTGGGCAGGCAGGGTCCAGACAAACTCATCGATTCATGTTGCTCACTGTGTTTGTAGAAGTGTGTGTGTGTGCGTCTTTACATCACAGTAAGTGGGTCAGTCCTAAAATAGGTGTGACAACATTCCAGTGTCTGTGGCGGGCTGGCAAGTGTCAGACACACATGTAGCTGTGAACATGGGCTGTATGATTGAATTCATGAAGTGAAACATGCCAGCTAGTTTTGGCAGCCAGACAAGTCTGCTAGTAAACTCACAGGACATACTCCTCTCACTGCAATACATATTCATGGAGGGATGTTGAAGCATTTCAAAGCCCCACCTCCACCGCAGCATCCACCTGCTTGTCACAGTGTCTCTACTGGCTGCTAGACTCTTTCATGAACTGTCATTCTCTCGCCTAACCCCCGGTGTCCTCGTGTTTGTTCCAGTCCATCTGCCACCAGCTTTTGGTCAAACAGTCTCTGAGCTCTGCAGCAGCCGGTTCTTGTTTTCCTGTGACCCTGTTGTTGATACCCAGTTTCCTAGTTCACCTCATGTTTTCCATGATTTGTTTCACCCTTGTTTGTGAACTCTGCTGGGGCTCTCCCAGCCGGACCGATCTTCATGTTCTCGCCCTGGATATGGACTCTCACATGGCCTGTGGGTTTCCCCATGTGGTCTTGTCTGCCTGAACTTGTTTCTTTGATGTTTGTTTTTGGTGTTTCCATTACGATTAACTGTCTGTGTCTGCATTTGGGTCCAGTCTACTCACTTTGGCATTTTGTTAGTGAAGCGAGACCCGAGTTCAGTTTCCCCACTGAGCTCCATGTTCCCTCATGTGGAGCGACGAGGTTAGAGCTGGACATCTTCTACACAGCAGTCTATTCCTGATCCTCCTACAGATAAATGTGATTTTTACATGGCTGACTTTCACCGCGGTTACATGATAAAACTCTAAAGGCCAGTGAAGAAAACAGACGTGCAAATGAATCAAATGGAAAAAGAGAAAAAAGACGAGGGCAGAGGCAGAAAAGATGATGTTCGCAGCTCTCCAGGTGACTGAGGATTCGTCTTTAGCTGCAGAGAGATCTGTAACTGCAACTAATGAGCTTGTGGATCTGATCGGTGTTGCTGCCCCAGATGCTGGAGGTGTGCTTCCATCCAGCTGTTTTATTCCCATTATAAAGAAGAAAAAACCCAGAGGAAACACTGAAAATCTGAAAACCATATTCACACTTGGCTGAGATAGAAAATGTGTGACCTCCCTCATAGTTCCATTGTGTTCTCCAGCTGGTTTGACTGGAGCTTTTATTCAGCTCCTTGTCTTCTGCAGCAGTTTAATGGCACTGACTGGAGGATTCAATCCACCTGCTGTTTGTCTTCACCAAGCTCCTCCTGGAAACGTGCATTAAATGGCTCGTTTTTTTGTAGATTTTCTTGAAGTTTGGTTAAGATTTGTGCTACGTTTAGATGAAAACCCATTTTGTTCCATCTTTCAAAAGCAGAATGTTGTTTGTGAAAGTCACATGTAAAGCTGCAGAAATCTGTGCAGCTGAGGTGCAGAGGAGCCCACAGAGTTGGCACCTTTGTAATTCTGTTTGTAATTCTGAAGTCTTCATAAAAACAAGAGACTCCAAGTTGGCTTAACTTGACATAAATCAAATATTTATGTTAATGAGGAAACATGATTCGAATAAATTCCCGTGTGATGTTGCACAGTGCTGCTGCCTGATTTCCACTTCCTTTCTTTCTAATGTGTCTGTTAGAAATGGAAAATACCATAAATACAAAGAGTGTGGTGACTGAGAGAGTTCACCCTCATCCATCAGTGACGACAGGGAGCAGCAGAAATGAGCTGCTGACGTTAGAAAGGATTCAGGAATAAATATTTTTGGACCCAAGAAAAAATAAGTGGCAGTGTGTTTACACTATCAGGGAGAAGTGAGAGAAGAAGGAAAAACATTCATGTTTTTGGTCAACACCCAGTGTGTGTATTTACATGTTTTTCTATGATTGTGTGGACAAAGTTTAGTCAGAACCATTATTGTGACGGTGTTTCTGTGCTGTGAGGATGTCGTGTGAAGTGTTGGCAGATTTAGACCTGGTTTTAGGGGTCAGGACAGAACCGGGGTCAGGTCAGGTTTAGGGGCTGGGGGATGTGTTGTGTCAGTGAGGGTTCTCACAGAGACAGAATTACAAATGTGTGTGTGTGGAATGGGGGACACAGATGGTGGCTAAATATAACAAGGTCTGTCACAGGAAGAGGAAGTGATCCCTAAAAACAGACCACGAAGAAGATTAATAGTGTGTGTGTGTGTGTGTGCGTGTGTGTAAATGTGACTCATTAATTCTGTTTGGAGGAAGAAACAGATGCAGCAGTTTTGTTTCATTATGTAAAACACACACACAGTTCTCTGGTGGATGCGGTTGGCATGGCAACCTGTTGGCTGACCATATTTGGTTTTTAACATGTTTTCACAATTTGGAAAATTGGAATCAGTTCATAGTGAAAGAAAGGCGAGAGAAAAAGATGGAGAGGGAGAGGGAAGAATATGGCAGGGCAGTGAGGAGGAGGAGGGGGGGAAGAAGTAATGAAAATGGAAGAGAAAATGGGCTTTAAAGAAAAGAAAATGGGGAAAAGAAGGAAGAGAAGTGAGAAGGAAATGATAGTGAAAAGGATGGAAAGTAGGAGAGAGAGACAGTGTACCTTAGAAGACATGATGGAGGAAAGAAAGTGAGGAGAAAGGGAGGGAAGAATAAAAGGTACAGGGAAGGAAGGATATTAGTGAGGGAGGAGGAAGGAAAGAAGGAAGGAAGGAAGTGAAGATGAAAGGGAGGGAAGAGGACAAATAGAAGAGAGAAGGAAGTGACAATGTAGTACAAATACTCAAAGTACTTCCTCAGCTCAGTGTGTTTGTGTATTTACACTTTAAAACTTCTTCAGGTTCACGTTTGTTCAGTTTGCCTTTTATTCTAATGTTTGCATGAAAACAGAAAAAAAGCAAGAAAACAAGTCTTGCAAAGCAAATGACAACACCTGTCATGTCTAACTGAACATGTGAAAACCACATGGTGGTGTGTTTTGGTCTGGTGTTTCTATCAGCAGTCAGTTCGACAAATGTACAGTACGTCAGGAAAAGTAGGTTGCCTCCTCATGTGAGAACAAGCGGCAGACCTGACAACCATTTGACCTCGCATTCCTTTCATGCTCAGTTTTTTTTACAGCAGAAGCTGCCGCTGTCTGACTGGTGTACTCAGTAAAAAGCTCAGCTCCTTTGTTCTGTCTTGATCTCTACAGACTTCGATGCAGCTGGCTTCTGTTTCTGTGACAAAAGCAAAAATCGGTTTCCACTCAGGTAAAGGAGAACCAGCTCTCCTGGCTGCTTAGACAACACTTCATGCTGTTGACAGCCTGTCATGGCCACTGGCGGCTCTCCAGTTGCTGAAAGGACTTTTTAAAGCTTCAAACAGTCAAGTTGATGCAAATGAATTTTTTCAAGTGCACCTCAGGCCACGGTAACAATGAGAGGGCTGAATGGAACTGAAAGAGGTCTCACCGTGCTCTGCGTTGTTTGTCACCATTACAACCTGCAGAATTACAACCTGTTTTTTTATTGGTCCACTGCTTCTTCCTCATCTCTGAGGGGAGAACTTTTCACTTTCATCTGGCACCACTTTGAGGCTGACATTTGTGGCTTTGAGTGAAACTATTCTGGCTTTGAGTCAGCAGTTGTGTCTATTGTGTTGATTCATGTTGTATGTCAGGTGTATCACACACCTCCTTTCTGTTTGTGTGACTTTTTCTCTGTGGTAGTCTGTTGCCCATGCTCTGTCACTCTCTGTCCACCTTCTCTGTTGGATGGTAAATACATGTTCTTGAGTTTGTGACTCTTGCTCTAATGTACCCGAGTGTGTTGCTGGGTGTGTGATGAATCCAGCTGGTTGCTGATGATCACAGAGGGAACTGGACCCCCAACCTCAGCAGTGCTTTAGCTGCACGGATGTTTGCATTGCACTGTCACGTGAGCAGCTGATTGGATAATTGCGTAAATAAGCAGGTGTACTAGAGCGAAGCGGTCTGCTGAGGATGGTTTAGTCTCTGTCCTTGGTGCTGAAGTCCAACAGATGTAGAATGGTGTCTCTGTCCTTGGTGCTGAAGTCCAACAGATGTAGAATGGTGTCTCTGTCCTTGGTGCTGAAGTCCAACAGATGTAGAATGGTGTTTCTGTCCTTGGTTCTGAAGTCCAACAGATGTAGAATGGTGTCTCTGTCCAGGGTGCTGAAGTCTAGAATTAGAAATGCTACCACTTCTCTGAGCTCTCTGCAGAAGGGCAGTGCGGGAGGAAGGACAGCTGCTGTTAGTGATGTGATGAACAGCTCC